CAAACATGATTTCCTTTTTGTGAACTTTAATCTATATATATATATATATATAATAAAAAAATTAAGGATTTATTTTGGTAGGATTTAGTGATTTTTGGCCCACCTGGTGCATACAGAAATACATATCCAATAGCTTCAGCACCGTACAAATGAACACGAAATTTGCATGAAGCCTAAACTGGCATTACGATTACCAATTGCCTCGGTTAATACGCAATGCCGCGCAACGAATTATATGATAAGTATCCAATGAAATCATCCCGAAATGGGATCGAATTAACCGACGAACAGGAGAGAGAGTTCGAGAGGCATCGAGAGTTGGGCAAAGAACGAATCAATAGATCCTCGGAAACGGAGTACAACGAACCTTGGCTGGGTATCCTTGAACCGGTTAGGAAGATCGATCGCACGCACTCATATCGAGGACGATATCGATCGGTCGATAAGCGTTTAACGGCTTAATCGGCCGATAGACGAGACACAATGCAAGAGAGAGAAAGAGAGAGGGGGGCTTTGAGAGCGGCATTAGAGAGCGATTACGCTGCTTGCACTACGTTAGTCCCTGTCGTTCGTAATCGTATCGCCATTTGTCGTAGGTCGGCTTTCTCGGTGACGCAACAAGAAGCCTCGTGGGTTGCGTCGTTGTCGATGCTGGGCGCATGGTTCGGCGCTATGATCGGCGATTGGATAATGAGGAGGGGTCGCAGATTGGCGCTCCGTGTCACGTCCTTGCCGCTGGCCGTCGTCTGGATCCTCACGGGCATCGCACCCTGCGTCGAGTTGGTCTACGTCACCAGCTTCATCGGCGGACTATGCTGCTCCGTGATCACTATGGTGGCCCAGGTATCATTTCACAAGGGAATTGACGATTTTGACGAAAAAAAAATTTTTCTTTTTTTTTTAATCGGCAAGCGTCGATGTCGAAGGCGTCGTGGAAGCTACCCTCAATGTTGAGGCATATCTTGTCAAATATCTCGGAAATTACATTTCGTGCGAATCGATGAGATTAGTGTAAATGTCACACGACATTTTTAAATAACTTTCGACTCAACCATCGCAACGAAATTTGAGATGAATATTCCAGTGATATATATTTCATGTTTGTTTAATTGCTGTTTCACTAATTTTACAAACAAATTTCGCAAATTGCTTATTCCACAGTCTATTTACTGTTACCTCTGAACTAATTTATTAACGAATCTTGAAATTATGAACAAAATCGAGTAGTATTGAACGTACAAAAATATTTAGTGTAAAAACTAAAGGTTAACGGTGTTTGTAATTTTTTTCCCAAGTGAGTAAATGTTCTTGAATATTTGTTTATAAAAACTATATATTCAACGCGTTCGCGGTTGAACATCGGCGATTGCCGATAAATATTTTTTGCGAAAACTACACGCCAAAGTTTCGTCGAAATCGATGACTGACAGTTCGGTGTGTTTCCTCGTTAGTTTCGATCCCATCCCATTTTACCATTCTTCGATCGTTCGGGGAACAAATGCATGAACATGATGATCGTTTCGTTTAGGTGTATATATCGGAGATCTCGATGCCGGGGATCAGGGGTTGTCTGTCGGCGATGCTGAAGGTGCTCGGCCACGTCGGCGTGTTACTGTCGTACATCGCGGGCACGTACCTGAATTGGCGGCAGAGCGCGTTGCTGGTAGCCATAGCGCCGTCGATGCTCTTTCTGGGGACACTGTTCATACCCGAAACGCCGTCGTACCTCGTCCTCAACGGCAAGGACGACGAGGCTGCCAACAGCCTGCAATGGCTGCGCGGTGATCACGTCGACATACGTCACGAACTGCAGGTAATTCTCAAAGCTCAAGAATATAGCTCTCTCGTGTCGATCATCCTCGCAAATGTGCCTGTTGCCCCGTTCCTCGTCACATGTTGATAATGAAACGGTGATTCGTTCCATTTTGATATTAAAGGCCTTGAAGATCGTCACGATTGTGTGTTCCAGGTGATCAAAACGAACATCCTCGCCTCGCGAGCGAAGCAGTACGAGCTGACGTTCAAGAACAGCATGTTCACACCGCGGCTGTACAAACCGATCGCCATTACCTGCGGATTAATGTTCTTCCAACGGTTTTCTGGGGCGAACGCGTTCAATTATTACGCGGTCATTATATTCCGTCAGACGCTCGGCGGCATGAATCCTCACGGCGCGACCATTGCAATCGGCTTCGTGCAATTATTGGCTTCTCTGTTATCAGGTACGGTAACCCGAGACATTCATTGCGTGTTGTCATTCGTTGCTCGATGAAACGCTCGATGGGATGAAGCACGAGAAACGAATCTCAACTGACAATGAGGATTCCTAACGGTTGTTCTCTCTATCTATCGTTTTGTATTTCTCATTTCTCGCGTTCTGCTTACGTTTCCTGCTTAGGATTCCTGATCGACATCGTGGGCCGGCTACCGTTGCTGATAGCCAGCACGGTGTTCATGTCGCTGGCGTTGGCGGGTTTCGGCAGTTATGCCTACTACGTGTCGCAGACGCAAAATCTAGGGTATCCGGACTCGGCGGTGGTCGGCCAACACGACTGGATACCGTTGCTCTGCGTGCTCGTCTTCACGACCGCTCTGGCACTGGGCATATCGCCAATTTCGTGGTTATTGATTGGCGAGCTCTTTCCCCTGGAGTATCGCGGCCTCGGCTCGAGCATCAGCACCAGCTTCAGCTACTTCTGCGCGTTCGTCGGGATCAAGCTCTTCATGGACTTTCAGCAGGTGAAACGTCGTAATCGTAATCGTAATCGTAATCGTGATCGTGATCGTGATCGTGATCGTGACGTAGAGTAACAGCCAACATCCCGTTCCCCGTTAACGCGCGTCAGGGCGTTTAGTCATTCGTGCTGTACGGTATTTAATTAGATGTTCAGGTCGATAAACTACAATCGAGCGCAGTATCTGATCATGCTCCGGTGCATAATTGAAATGCCTCGGTACTTACGCGCCGCGGTACCCAAATGGGGCTACGGCGCTTAAATATTAATGCAGCAGTGTTGCGTTAATTGACTGAGATTTTCCCTCCTTGTCGGCAAGTATAGTTATCGAGATGACAACTATGTACGAGGGGGAAAAAAAGTTTGTCCGTAAGTATCACAGATGAATTTTACACCTTCGATTTGATGGAAATAATACGTGAAATTGATCTTCACTTTGAATTTCAAAATCAAAATTTCTTTTCGTATTGTATTCCACTTTTTCAAGGAACCACAGTTCTTAATCATTTAACACTGAGGACACGTGATAACAGCGACTTTATGATTCTGGATTTCACTAACGTTTGATTTATCATCTGTGCGAGTCTAAATAATCAAACTAGCTGTTAACATTATTCGAAATATAAACATTACATCCATGCGTTCAGAATCACAAAGTCGCTGTTAGAACTTCAAGGTAAAAAAAAAATTTTTTTTTCTTGCATTGTATTCTATTCATCAGGAAGATAGAACTATTCTAGGTAACCTAAACTTAACCTAATAGTCTTTTTGAAAAATGACAAAACAGTTTCTTAATCATTTAATGCTGCGGACGTGTGCGTGCTAACAGCGACTTTATGGTTCTGGACGCGTGGATGTCTATTTTACGTGATTCTCGTATTAGGTTTCACTAACATTTATCATAGTTGTAGCATCAGTGCGAGTCTAAATAATCAAATGACAAAACTGTTAACATTATTTGAAATATAAACATTACGTTCACGCGTCCTAAACTGTAAAGTCGCTGTTAGAACGCAAGCATCCGCAGCGTTAATTGATTAAGAAACTTTTTCGCCTTTTTCCAAAAGACCTATTACGTTCCTTGGAAAAGTTTTACTTTCATGATGAGGAGAATACAAGAGAAGAAGAAGAAAAAAAAAAGAAATTCAAGGTCAAAATCAATTTATAGTAGCGTTATAGCCACGGACAAACTTTTCTTTCCATCCTGTATTTTGTATCTATTTGCAATTTCACATCAGAAACTGTAGCTACCGCGTTATATTTCCGTAATTAATTATTGAACAATGTTTCAGACATTCGGCCTGCACGGAGCGTTCTGGTTCTACGCGGCGGTCGCTGTATGCGGGCTGTGTTTCGTGGTGTGCTGCGTGCCAGAGACCAAAGGGAAACAACTGGACGAGATGAATCCGGACTACGCGCAGGCACGGTAGTATAAGGCCTCGTTGACGGGGGGATTGTCGAACCTGGAGAAATCCAACAAACCCCTGCCAGGAGGAGCCTATCCGAATCAGCACGACCCGAGGGAGCTGTACAGCTCGAACCCAGGAGCCATGGATGTTCCAACAACGTCCCGCCAGACGCCGAGCTACAGAAGCAATCATCGCAAACTGTCCGATTATTGCAACATCTTCGCCGAGAAGACAAACCGAATCGGCCGGAACGTCGAGAGTTTCATGCAGTCGCGCGGATTTTTCGCGGCGCGTCGTTCCACCGACGAAAGCTCGCGCAGCAACGTGACGAACGTAACGCACCGAAGCAACGGAGACGTGATCAGAAACGACTATCGATTCCCCGACTCGAGGCTGGCCGAACGAGCCGAGGTACGCGACGAGAATCAGCATCGTTACGGTCGAATTGGACGGAGCCGACGATTGGAGAGACCCGCCTATCCGAAGAACGTTTATCCAGAGGACGTCCTCTGCCCGGAGGAAAGGGGGAGCGCCGCGTCTAATTACGCGGATCGCGATGTGGAGACAACGCAGTCTCGACAACGAGTTCGCCAACGCGATTACACGGTGGCGTACGAGGACAGCGAGGACCTCTGGAGAGGCTGCTGGAGAGGCGTTTCCGGTGATTTAAACGGTCTCTCAGGGTCTAAGCCGAGCCTGAGGAACGGCATTAGTTACGGGAGGGGTGAGAGGCTTTACAGCTCGACTTTGCCCAGGCGAAGCAGAACCATCAATTTCAGAGATCAGCCGAGCAGTTCCCTCGAGTCGCGGCGTGGCTATCTGAGAAGCTTGCAGGACCTCTCGGACCTCGAGCTGGACGACAGGCCGCGAGATCTCGCAGACTCGTCTTTTCTATCGTCGAACAGAGACGACTGGAGGAGCGACAGGCAGCTGGTTGCAGCACAGGACGATGGTTACAGGCGTCGAAGATACCGGGAGAACCGACTCGAGGACGATTATCTCAGGCTCTACAGGAGCTTATCCAGGCTTAGCAAATACCCCCAGGGTGGCCAGTACGAACCTGGTCAAGTACACTACGAGAGGGAATGCAGAACGTTCGGCAAGGACACGGTCGCCTTCATTTATTACAAAACGTGCTACTTGTGATGCACGAGGCTACCTCGATGACGACAGCGGATCATCAAAGGATCCATATGCTTTGCGACTCGTCGACAACGAGCAAGATCGGCCACCTGATTTCCGCTCGATGCTCGTTCTTCCGATGCAGTTTCGCGATTCAGTTTTCGATTGATTGACGCGGACAGGAAATTTTCGTGGTTTATTTTTCGCGCAGTTTTGAATGTACTCGAGTATTACAATATTTTTTCTTTCAAATGATGAATCACCTTGATTCACGAGAATCTCTCGCAGAAGGAGAAAGAGAGAGAAGGAACGACTTGGTCTTTTCGTCAAAGCAAGATCTCACTAGATTACTCTCGTTCAGTTCCTCGATCGATTTCATACGAGCTTTCCTTTTCAGTTTGACCCGAAGTCGGCGTATAAGATTGGTCAGAAACGCGCGCGTGTTCGATCGAACGAACGAGCGACGAGCCTCCCTAATCCTAACGATCTTCGAGTACTTGACGTGTAACATTCTAAAGAAGACTTGTGTCGAGTAATCAAAAATAAAAAGAAAAAGGTACAATTTATATGAACGTAGAATAGAGGTTTAACGATTATAAATAGAGGATAACTTAAAGTTAAAGATTTAAGGACGCAGCGAGACGTTCGAGTGTTGATTCTTCCTCTCTCTGACCAGTTTTATGCTCACTTTCGATACTGTAAGTCGTATAAATCGAGTCGAATAAGATCTCCTTTCCAAGCCACACGACTGAATTACGTAAATTACGTATTAGATATCATCTTCGTGATTTGCCTTGCGAAACGTTGAACGATATTTTGACCAAGAAGCGCATTAAATTAGCATACACGTTATTTTCCGTAATTAATCGAAACTATATATATATATATATATATATATATATATATATATAT